CCCTTCTTTTTCATGTTGTTCTTGGAATGATCTATTTTCCTCCTGGAAACTTTCAGGATTTTTCTTTTCATTCCAAGTATATGGATATTTCATGATGAAGCACATTGATAGGAGTCTTTTTTTTTTCTTCTTCTTTCATCTGGATCCTTAGTGGGTTCTTCCTATCAGAAACCTCTAATTCTTCTGTTCTGTGATGATTACTTGTGTTATTTTTACTGTTTCTCCCCTTCTCTCAGGATCTCCATATTGTTTTATTTTGTGTGTTATTGGTTCGGGGGGGTTGTTTTTTTCTATCTCTGGAATCCTCCTTATCTACTAGATCGCCCTGCAAGTGCTCTACCTGTTTCTCTCTGCTTGTTAGAGTGGGTTTTCTGTGGGGCTTTTTTTTTTTTGGTCTCTTTGTTTTACAGCCCAAAAGATTTCTCCAACTTTCCCTTCCTTCATGTTTCAAACTTCCAAGAATTCTTTCTTGTCTGTGACAGCTTTTTTCAGTAGTATGTTGATCTTCTTCTATGGATGCATTAAATTCTCTGGACGCTTTAAAGATTTTAATAATAGATTTTTTAAATGTTTTCTTCTATTCCCTGAACTATCTCTCTCTCCAAAGCAATCTCCTTAACTCAGGTTGTCATATGAGCTCCGCCTGGTTTCCCTCCCCCAACCCCCATCGCAGCCTATAAACTCTGCAAAGGCAGTAAGCTGGAACAATTGCAGGACTCAATACATTTGTTTTTCTGTCTCTCAGGAATCACTGTCCTTCGTTGCCAGATGTCCATTGTTTCCCCAATGCTTGCTTCACATATTTCATGAGGGTTTGATTGTTTCAGTTAGAAAGATAGATTCAGTTCCTCTATTCCTTTTTAGGAAGAAACAAGGGGTGTGTGTGTGTGTGTGTGTGTGTGTGTGTGTGTGTGTGTGTGTGTGTATGTGTGTTCTTATTACTTTTGCAAAGGCAAATAAATTTTTGAGATCTCTTACTGTTTTAATCGTTTTTAAAATTGTATCTTTTTAGTTTTCTTGATATAATATTTATATCTCTTATTCATACTTCTATCTAGCTGTAGCAGACTGGGCATAGCAATCCTGTCTTGAAATAGTGCCAAGAGTGAAAAACCTTTTTTTAAGTTTCTAGTGTTTTGCCCTTAAGCCTAATGCTGACAGGACTGGAAAAATGTTTTTTGTCATTGTTTGGTTAAAACAAACGTATCCATTTACTACAGTTTTTCTATGCATGTGTGTATTTGTGTTTTTAAATCAGAACTAAATATCAAACTTTATTAAATGTCTCTTGGCCATTTATTGAGATGAACATTTATATTAGTACAGGGCATTATCACAACACCTGTCAAGTACTGAGCTATCCTTACTTTTTAAAAGCAAAGCCACTTGCTGTATTTTAATGTTGTGCTGAATAGTGCATTTGTAATATTTAATTTAGGATTTGAGTGCTATTTTTGTAAAGTCTTGGTATGATGTTACTTTGGCTTTCTAAAAATAATTTGGAAGATTTGTATATTTCTCAATGCTCTGAAACAGTTTAAATAGAACTGGAATTATCTGTTACTTAAAGATACAAAGCAATCTAGGCCTGACATTTTCTTTTCTTTTTTTTTTTTTATTTACTTATTTTTCAAGTACAGTTGTCTATCTATTTCTCCCATCCCAGCCCAACCTGCCCTGTGCTCCCCACTAGGCCTGACATTTTCAACAGTGGCCCACAATTATCGGAGGTGGATAGATCTTTAACAAGTTTTTCAATTTCTTTTGTGGTAGTTCTATTTTATGTCTGTATATCTTCTGAAGTTAATTTAGTTACTTCGAAAATTACCCTCTCATCTAAGTCTCCAAGTACATTTGCATATTGTCTTGCAAGGTGCAGTTTAATTAATGCTTTAATTACCTTCAGAATAGGTGGCTGTTCCTAACTTCTCTAACTTCAAAATGATGTAAATGATTGATGATGATTTTTTCTTTTGTCTTCTTAATTAAGCTGGGTAGGGCTGTGCCTATGGTTAAGAAGTAATGGGCTCTGGGGTAAACATACCCGGACTGAAGTCCTGTCCCAATTACCATTTGTCCTTGGTGTCCTCATCTCCCAGCGAATTCACCCATTAGGACAGGTTAGGTTGGGCCATGCAAACACACGGTATCAACAACTCAGTGACTTGCAGCTCCGTCACTCAGCGTGTTAACTGCAGGTCAGCCTCATCTTGGCTCCGTGTCACACTCTCTCCAGGTCCCCAGCTAAACCAAGTGGCCTCTTTGTGGAATGTTGCCTGACACTTGGCAGAGAGGCAAAAGAAAAGGACGCAGAGGATCACATGCTGGCTCTGAAAGCTTCTGTTCAGAAGTGATACACATCACGTCTGATCAGATTTCATCGGCCAAAGCAAGACACCGCCAAGCCTGTGTCAGTGAGACAGATACATTGAATCCTCCCCAAGGAGAGACGGCAAGTATCTTAAGGGATTATCCAGTCCACCAGAGTAGATGACATTAATAAACTTGTGAGGATTAATGTACACGACTTCCTCTGTGCTGTGCTTACATAGAGTAAAAACTTACTAACTTATTCCATTCAACAAGTGTTGCAGAACCCCTTCTATATGCTGTGCTAGGCACCGTGGAGGTGGTATAATTGCAGGGGTTCTTAGTTACAAACCCATTCCAGCCAGTTAAGTCAGAAGAATTGAACGATTAATGTATCTTAGCTCTCTTCCGGAATCTGTGGGGGATGTGAGCGGCAGAGAATCCGGGTTGGAGGCTTCTGCCCCGTGAATAATGTGCAGTCAAATCACAAGGCTGCTTCAGGCAGAACCCACTGTCCCACGATGGGCATGAACACAGCAGCTGGTTCCAGTGTTGGTAGGTCAGATGCCAGAGCCTTCACCACCATCCTGGTCAAAAGGTGGATTCCTCGTGGGACCTGCTTCTTCACATAACTGCTTTTCGATTAGTCTCACACAGGTTAGTGTGGCTGGTAGAACCTGGGCACCTTGCCTGAACTCTAGTTGCAAGGAAAAATGTGTAAGTTAGTTCTGAATTCTTTCTTAAAGACATAGGATTCGTAATACAGCAAATTAGCTGAATTTAAGAAGGCAGTTTAAAATACTGGATGACCCCAATACATGATAAATATCTACTACCGAGGTATAAAGGAAAAAGTGGACATGGACTTTACCCTCATGGAACTATATAGTTCAGTAGAAATACGCATATTAATCAAAATTCAATCAAATATAAATGTGTAAATATTACTGGACAAGGGACCTGACCCTGAGCAGGTCTGCCTAGGGCCGGCTGCAGTGTGTGAGTTCTCCACTTCGTGTGGGAAGGATTTCACAACAGGAGTCCAAGTGACTATGAGGATCCATTTATTAAAGCTGGGGACAGTGAAACGAGGAAGGGCTCAGCATAGAAGAAGCACCAGGAGAGCCTGGGCTGGGCTGCCTTAGCTCAGTGGGAAGTCAGAGCAAAGGGGGCCTTGGGGGCAGATTCAGGGGCCAGGCCTTGGACAAAGCTGCCAGCTGCCCACTGCCTTAGGGTTTAGGAGACAGTGCCTGTGAAGAAAGAAGTGGAGGGAAAAGGGAAGGGGAATGGCTGGGGCGGCTCCCCAGAGGGAGACCGCATGCCCTTTTGTCTCCTTCTTGCAGATGGGAATCTTAGGGGAAGTCTTAGGAGAGGGTTTCAGCAGAATATTCATCTCTCCTCCAGGTGTGCTCTTTCAGGGTCATGGTCTCCACTGATTGGCCAGTGACAGGGCTGGGGGTCATTAGTCATTGTAGCTGGTCCCACTCTGTTTGGCTCCTTTTCTGGGCCTGGAGCTGAAATACAACTGAGGCCTAGATGTCATCTCTAGGGATGTGACCTTCTGTATCTGGCTGTAAATGGCTTGACCACTGTGTTCAGCTGTCTGTCTCAGTGTCCCTATTCTACTTGCCAAGGACCATTCCTAGCTTCTTGCTTCTCTGTCTCATAAGGAGGTATGCACAGTCTATTTATAGCATATAATAGTTAGGCCTAGTAAGATGGGCCTAGTAAGATGGTCAAAGCTTCCCCAAGGAAATGGTAATTGAGGTGAGAGCTGAAGAAAGAGTAGGATAGGAGTTTTCTCACCAGACAGAAGGTGAGAAAAGAGCCCAAGAGGCAAAGGGAATGATTTGTACAAAGGCCACTGTCAGGAAGGAATTGGGATCCTCTTGAAGGGCTAGAAGTCCTCAGAGAAGTCACCGAGTCAGGTGGGTGGAGATCCTGCAGTAAGAGAGCACTGGAGAGGCGGCAAGGCTGCACCTCGGAATCCTCGCAGAGATCCGGGGATCTGGTTTTTTGTGCCCATCGCCCCTCTGTCTCCAGCCCAGGTTCGTGAAAAGGAAAACAGAAACATGCTTAAACATTCTCCAGGGACTCTAATGCATAGGGCTTGGAAGCATCAGTCTAGCCTAGCATTTCCCTTTAAGGAGACCTTTCAAATGGTAGTAGCAACACAGTGAGAGAAAAGGGGTGACTGACAAGAGATAATCAATATTTTTTAAACACCTACCATTTGCCAAGCACCATGCATAGGGGACTTACATAAATTACCTCAGGTTGTTATATTTTTATTTATTTTTAATGATATTTTATTGATTATGCTATTACAGTTGTTCTCATTTTTGTCCCTTTGCCCCCCTCTACCCAGCACCTCCCACTCTCTCTAGTTGGTTGTTTTTTGCTTCCTTATATTCCTAATCATTGATTTGATTCTTGGCTTCATCCACTCTAGTGTCGTTGCCCTGTACATTGTTCTTTATTCCAATTAGTGCATCCTTCATTTCTGACTGGATTTTTTTTATCACGTTGAGGTCCTCACTAAGTTTTTTGAGCATCCTTTTTTTTTTTTTTTTTAGATTTTATTTATTTATTTATCTTTAGAGGGGAAGGGAAGGAGAGAGGGAGAGAAACATCAATGTATGGTTGCCTTTCATCATCCGCTGGGAGGCGAGGGCTGTTGACTCGAGGGCTGAGCATCCTTATAACCTGTGTTTTGAACTCTACATCTGATAGGTTGCTTATTTCCATTTCATTTAGCTCTTTTTCTGGAGTTTTGATCTGTTCTTTCATACGGGCCATGTTCTATGTCTCCTCATTTTGGCAGCCCCTCTCTGTTTGTTTCTACGTATTAGGTAGAGCTGCCTTGATTCCACGTCTTGGCAGTGTGGCCTAATGTAGTAGGTGTCCTGTAGGGTTCAGTGGCCCAGCCTCCCCTGGCACCCAAGCTGGGTAATTGAACTGCACCCTTCATGTGAGGCTGAGTACACCCTCCTCTTGTAGTTGAGCCTTGAGAGTTGATGGCAGATCAATAGGAGAGATTTGCCCAGGCCAGTTAGCTGCCTGTGACCACTGACCACCACCCTCCACCCTCCAAAGAGCATCAGCTGTGCAGGCACACAGTAGTGGTGCTCCAGCGTGGTCTGTAGCTGTCCACTGAGTGTGCTGGCCTTGGGGATGCCCCGGTAGTGTAGACCAAGGTTAGCCCCTACCTGTGTTTCGCCTAGAGCCACCCTGCCTGAGCTATAAAGCAATATGAGATGGTTGCTACTTGTGTTGGACTTGGAAATTTCCAGCAAAGCCAAGCTGTGAATCTAGGCTGGTTGCTGCTATTGCTGGGCCTGGGTCTCACTGAAGCCAGCTGTTACTTGTTTGATGGCATTTAGGAGTTGTGTAGAAAGAGCCAAGACCAGCCATTCATGTGGAAAAGCAGCTTGGGTGGGCCCCTAAGTTGGGTGCGGCAGAGTCTCTGGGGATCTCCAAGGCAGATCAAGCAGTGTTAGCCAGGTTGATGGAGTTGCAGGTGCAGTACCAGCCTGGTTCTGTTGGGTAGGGTCCAGAAAAGGGACAATGGCCCCTGCTTACCTTGATACAAGAAAACCGAGCCTACCCCTGCACGTGACTGGTGCCCCTCAAGCCACTACCCTGGTGCTTGAGCTCAGAGAGAGTGAGTCTGAGTGAGTCCATGTGTGGATCTTTAAGAGGAAATGCTCAGTGCTCCAGAATTTTCTTCCACCAACTCCATCCTTGCTGGGTTTTGCAGCCAGAAGTTGCAGGGACTCATTATCCTCTCCCTGGGACCCTGGGCTGAGAGATCTGGTGTGGGGCTGGGACTCCTCACTCCTGAGATGTCCCTCCTGAATTTTTATCCACAACACGTGAGTGAGTGACCAGCCCAATCTGTATCTATTCCCTTTGTACTAGTCTGGGTGGATGTGGTTTCCTTAATTCCGTAGTTGTCAGACTTCCATTCAACTCAGTTTCTAACATTTCTGAGTGATAGTTGTTCTATATTTTAGTTTTAATTTTGATGTGGTTGTGCAAGTAGGCAGCCATGTCTGCTTACGCTGCCACCATGACTGCAAGTCCACGTTGGTGTATTAACACAAATGAAAGAACTATTTCTTAGCAAAGTTAAGTAATTTAGGCAAATTCATACAGGTGATCAGGAATGGGAACAAGCTTTGATCTAATGCCTCTCTTGTTCCAAACCCCACAGCCTGGTCTTTCCATTATACTTTGTTCCCACAACAGCAGATCGTGGGAACAATGCACCAGGCCAGCAGTCCTCCAAGTGGGGACCTGAAACCAGCAGCAGCAACTGGTTTAACAGAAATTTGTTAAATATGCAAATTGCCAGACCCCGCCCAGATGTACTGAATTAGAAACTCTGGGGGTGAGGCCCACAGAGCAGTCCGTGTCTCAATATGTTTTCCTTGTGAGTGTGATGCACAGATGATTTTGAGAACCAATGCATGCGGCCAATTGTTCTCAAGGGGACTTGATGAAGGGCCTCTAACCTTGCAGTGACTAGTTTCCTAGCCTCTCTTCTTCCACTATGAATAGCAGTCTTAGAACTGCTTCCTCAGCTCCTTCTTTCTTTCTGCTGTGTAGTATTCCATTGTGTCAACGTACCACAGTTTTTTGATCCACTCATTTATTGATGGGCACCTAGGTTGCTTCCAACACTTGGTTATTGTAAATTGTGCTGCTGTGAACATTGGGGTACATAGGTTCTTTTGGATTGGTGTTTCAGGGTTCTTAGAGTATAATCCCAGTAGTGGAATTGCTGGGTCATAAGGCAGGTCCATTTTTAGTTTTTTGAGAAAATCCCACACTGTTTTCCACAGTGGCTGCACCAGTCTGCACTCCCACCAACAGTGCACTAGGGTTCCCTTTTTCTCCACATCCTCACCAGCACTTGTTTGTTGATTTGCTTCTGATGGCCATTCTGACCGGTATGAAGTTGGAGAGCATTATGCTGAGTGAAATAAGCCAGTCAGTGAAAGACAAATACCATATGATCTCATCTATAAGTAGAACTTAACAAAGGAGCAAGAAAAATATAACCAGAGACACTGAAATAAAGAACAAACTGACAGTAACCAGAGGGGAGGGGGAAGAGGATCACAGAAGTGGAGATGGGGCAAAGGCTCGTCAAGGCACATGTATAAAGGACACATGGACAAAGCCAAATGGGGGTAGAAATGAGGTGGGAGGTGGGGATGTGTGGGGTGGGGGGCGTGGTGGGAGGAAAATGAAGACAACTATACTTGAACAACAATTTCTTTTTGAAGTGCTTCTCAGGAAGGACCCCACATTGCTACCAGGAATCTGTGGTCCGTGTCAGCGCAGTAACTACTGGTATGTTCCCAGATGTTATTGCCCTGATTTAAAAATAGTCCAGCAGAAGCCTGCCCCAAGGGCCCATGAGTAACAGTAACAGTATGTGCATTCCCAGCTCCCCTGGAAAACAGAGCACAGGAGTAATTATATAAAGGTAAACTTCCTGTCCCTTTGTACTTAGAAGAATATAGAACTGGGAGTGGCTTTAGAGCTCAAGGGAGGATACTCGCCATCCTTAACAAAGAAAATCCAGCAAAGGGGCCCTAAAGGGCAGAGATTCTGCAGGGAAGCATGAACCAATCAATTATGTGCGTATTTTAAAACAATATTAGCAGCTGAGACCTTTAAAAGATCACAGTGGCAGCATGATGGGTAGGCAAATCGAGGGAGAAAGATGCCGTTCGTGGGGTGCCTGGAGAGAATAGAAAATGATGTGCCATTCAGCCCATCTGGGTCTGCCCGACGGAGCAGTTTGGAAGGTTATTATATACCCATGAGGTGCCACCTTTTTCACATTGGCCGGTAGAGCTTCCTCCTTTCTATGACCTCCCCAATGTCAGCCATTGCCTTCGGCCAGCACCCCAGACAAGTTCAAGGTTTCCGTAAAGCATCCAACTCAGGAACAGTGACCCAGTTTACCATGGCCTGAGAGAGCCTGGCATTTGGGAATTGCAGGGTTAGGTCACACTAAACTCTTTGTCATTTACTCTAGACATGTGTCAGATGTCAGCTTGGTGCCAAGACGAAGCCCAGGACGGAGATTAAGGTGGCAACACCGGCTATACAAACTTTACTTTGGCTCCAAATCCTACAGCACAATTATGCTGAACCATGAATTTTCAAACAGGGCACTGGGACGTTCGGCGAGTTGGTAGAGGAAAAAATGAGGTTAAATAGAACCAAAAGCCGTCAACTGCTTTCGTCAATAATGATGAAAAGAAAGGAAAACTCGATCAGTTATGCCCATGGGAATTGTGCTTGTCTCTCTGCTCACAGGCAGAGCCAGGACAGCCTGCGAAATCTCAGCAGCCCCTATTCACGTGGTGACAAAAGAAAGAGTGAGACAAACAATATATTTGCTTTTCACTAAGCAGGTGCCACAGGTGGGTGTGAGGGTCTCTTTCTTTTCCTGGAGAACAGTTTGGTTTTCCCCTTCCCGTCCCCCAGTCAGGTGCTGGTTACACAGGTGCAGGGGAAGGCTGGTTACCCTTCCCCTCTCTCTAAAATCAGTAAGCATCTCCTCAGAGGAGGATTTAAAAAAAAATCTGAGAAGCAAATAGAGGAGGAAGCCTCCCTTTTTTTTTCTGCCAAGGTCTCATGATTCTAGGAATGTGGAAGATGGTGCTGTTAAACAAACAAACAAACAAAACCTTAATGCTCACTCACTGGGTTCTCAGTGAGTATTTCTCTGTAACCAGGCTTACCTACCAATGCACAATTTATGAATTATACTCCAGTGCTCACATAAAGAATGAAAGTGGGCACTAGGCTGATGCTAAAAAGCAAGCTGAATTATTTAGTGGACTTCATCACATGACTGCCTCTGCTGGCCCTTAAAACTAGCACTAGCCTCTCTCAGAAGAAGGAAATTAACTTTGAGATTAAAGAATCCCGACCACGTGAATCGAGCTCAGCCTTCCTCAGTCCCAGGGGTCGAGAGGCGTTGCTCTACGTTCTGCGGTTTTCCCCAGCTCACAACTATTCCTCGGGCTCCTTCATCTTCTTCCTGCGCCCTCCTCACTGCAAAACTGAAGACCTTGCTCTCAAATGAATGTAGGTCCCCACTCTGTGCTATGCTCTGTGCCCCCAGACGATTTACATTTTTCTCTTATAAACTTGCAAATATTTTATCTTTGGTTTTGGTTGTATACATAAGAATATTGAGCCTGCAAGAAAACAAGTCATCAAAGTTATATAGGTGGTACCTAGCAGAGCTCTAATTTGAACCCAGAACTTTTGATTTCAAAGTTCCTACCACAGTAAAATGACATTGATGTACAAGGCCTGCCTTTTCAGACCACACACAGAAGATAACAAAATGCAGATAAACCAAGATTTTATCTCCGAAAGTCCAGGGTGTGTGCTTTGGGGTATTCAGAAAATCTCAGATGCTGGTTGCTCCTCCCTTAAACTGGTTTACTCCATTTAACCTCACATGAAAAATGTTGGCCTAGCTAACACTTCTGGAGATTCAGGCACAGCCTCACCTCATTCATCGTAACATACCTTACCGTGACACCACCAGCAAAATCCGACAGGAAAGTACAGTTCAGCCCAGGACAGACTTAAAATGTGGAGCAAAGTGAAGCCCATTTCTTACACTGTCAGGCCATAACCTTTGAGGAAACATTTTAATGGACTATAAATGAAAAGCCTGCAGCCAGAAAAACACAGGGAATTCCAGAGTTCTTCCCCCAAGATTCCCTGAGTTTATTCTATTTGCATAAACCAGGGATTTAAAAAACTACTCCCACTAAATAATATATACAAAATAGATTTCAAAAGCCTGAAAAGCAGCTGGTGCCAGTGCGACTCAGCTGGGGCATCCGTCTGTAAACCAGGAGGTCAGGGCACCTGCCTGGGTTGCGGGTTCAGTCCCAAGTCAGGGCACATTCAAAAAGCAATAGACTGATGTTTCTTTTGCACATTGATATTTCTCTCCCTCTTTCTCTCCCTCCCTTCCCCTCTCTCTAAAATCAGTAAGCATGTACTCAGAGGAGGATTAAAAAAAAATCTGAGAAGCAAATAGAGGAGGAAGCCTCCCTTTTTTTTCAGCCAAGGTCTCATGATTCTAGGAATGTGGAAGAGGGTGCTGTTAAACAAACAAACAAACAAAACCTTAGTGCTGACTCACTCCAGATCTAGAAATGGAACAAAGAAACTGTTTACTCCCTGTGATGAAATTCAAACAGGAAGACTGAGAGAGACTAAGAGGGAACAATGCCATGTTTGGGGTCAAAGTTTTCCCCCTTCGGCTGTGGCATTTTTCTTCCCCAGTGTTTTTCGATATGACAGTTACTCAGTAAATTAAAGCAAAACCTGCTTTGCTATCACACCTGGGAATTTGAGGCTATAAACTGTATCCACTAACTAGATTAAAGGTCAGCTGATCCACATCTTCTATCAGGGATGTCCGATCCGTGGCCCTCTGGCTGCCTGCGGCACACGATAGCTATGAATGCAGCCCAACCCGAAAACCGTAAGTTATGCCCAGACCTTTTTTTTTTGCTCATCAGTTTTCATCAGCATTTGTGTATTTCATGTGTGGTCCAAGACAACTCTCCTTCTTCCAGTGTGGCCCAGAGATGCCAAAAGTGTGGACACCCCTGTCTCAGTACCATGTCAGGTGCTGTAGAAAATTGAGATGTTTCAACACTGGTCCTTCTGTTGAAAAAGCTTAGATACTCTCATGGAAAAAGGGTGATCACAAATTAGAATCGGGCTCATTACATTTCTTAGCTTCAACCTGTGCCTTCCCTAAGGTCAGCCACAAGCCTGGAGGCTTCTCTGCCAGGCCAGCTGCTACCAAGCTTTCATATTAACCATAAAGACTTCAGACACTCATACTACTATCTTCCAGTCCAAATACACAGAAATGTATTAATAAACTACCACATGCAAAATACTTCCTGTGTTTTGAGGACACAGCAATCATTAAGGAACTAGTATTCTTCAAAGACACTTTCATGCCCTGGCTGGTGTAGCTCAGCAGATTGAGTGCCAGCCTGCAAACCAAGGGGTCACTGGCTCAATTCCCAGTCAGGGCACATGCCTGGGTTGTGGGCCAGGTCCCCAGTGCAGGGTGCACAAGAGGCAACCACACATTAATGTTTCTCTCCCTTTCTTTCTCCTTTCCTTTCTCTCTCTCTAAAAATAAATAAATAAAATCTTTTTTTTCTTTTTTTTAAAGACACTTTGCTCAGTCTTGGGATGTGGGTTGCTGCAGACAGGAAGCATGTAGCCTTGGGCAAGGCGGCTCTTTTTGGCCAAGGCAAATATTGCAAAGGGCTAACAGCTATTTGTCCACAGCTCTGCCAGCAGATGGGGGGATAAGTCCTTCAGAATGGAAGGGGGATCTGGGCAGTGCATCACAACACACACTAGTCTTTCCATTACACCACGTGGATCCACTACTTTACGTACCAGAGGAATCTATAGTAGGATTCCGGGGATGCTTGGGAGGGCTCAGGAGATTCTCTTGAGGAAAACTTAGAAAAGGGAGGTTAGCCTTGGGTTAACCAGGTTAGTGCTGTTTCAGAGTCACACCTGACTCATTATTTTCTTCCTTTTCAACCATCCTGGATTCTCCTTTCTCCTGGCTAGCGTTCCTGGGGCCTTTGTGACTTATTCAGTGTCATTACCCATACCTTCATTCCTGAGGAATCTCACCCCTGGTCACCCTGCCTTTATCAGGCTATGGCTGCTACCTTCTTTTTTCATTAGACAAGGGAGCATTAAGAGGCACCCAAGTGAATTACTTGGGTCACAAACGTAGTTTTTTTCTGCCTCTGTTGTGTAATAGAAGTATTCCTGCTAGGATTGTGACTTGAGTTCACATATACAGTCACCTTATCCATGAATCAAAGTCAGGTTTTTGCCTCATCCATCAACCAGTTGTTGGGGATCCATGACCATAGGCGTGAATGAACAGGGAGGATCTCTTGCAACAGTGACGATGGAATGGGACTCTGGCCTACTTGCTCAGATACCTTGCCTTTTGCCTCTGGCCCTGCTCATGCTCAGTCCTTCATGTGCTACTTCCATCTTGCAGTGGGTTGTGGCTGGGCCTGTCTGACCTTATGTCTTGGTAGGTCTGACAGAATTCTGTATAGGAGGGACAGTTTTGACCCCATGATCATTTGTTATCCCATAAGCAGTCACTCTATCTCTACCGTGGTTCAGTAGCATGCTAGAAGCTGTTTTTCAAAAGGTGTATATTATTTGTTAGAGTTGGCATGGTCTTGATGGGGGAACTCAAGAATTAAAAGTTTTAACTTCAGTCACAGTTGATAAGCTTAAGTGATTAAGGGATGTGGAAAGCTGTATTCCAACAACTGGAAGGCATGACCACACGACTCCAGGAAGTCAACAAGCAATTCAGCCTTGTGCTCCAGGGGGTCTGCAAGCATTGGAGATGGTATGTGAGTCACTGTGTTCTAGGGAGGAAATGTCCATGACACATATAAAAAAATGTTGATCAGCAAATAAAGTACTAGCAAAATTGCTGCCAGGCTGCAACTCTTACCCATTTAAACTTTCTTCCAAATCCCTTACATACTCTTTCTTCTCCTTATAAAAATGTTGGCTTGAGATGAGATGTAAAGATGGTTTCCGAGGGTATAAACCTGCCATCTTCTCAGATCGCTGGCATCTGAATAAAGTATTCATACAAATTCAATTCTTGTCTCTACTTATTGGTTCTGGTAGTGACAGGCAGCATGAACACCAACTTTTTCCAGTTTCATTCTTGCTCCAGAATCCAAAGCTCCATGTTGTGATTCTTCTTTGGTGCTTAGCACTGCTATCTTGTGCCAGGTGTAACTGGTAGTTGGTAGAGGTCTTCATTACCAGCTGAGAAGCAAGGATCCAGCTACAAAATCTCATCTTAGAATCTAGTTTCTCAGACTACTCCTCCTACTGTCATGGCTGAGTTCCCAGGAAGTTGACTCTGAAGCAGTGTAGCATGCAGGAAATGTATTATAGGTTCCTCTTGAAAGTAATACCTATGGAAGAGAAGAGAAGGAAACAAGATTGCACAGTGAAAGAAGCTGGGCTAAAGGCAATCTCAACAAAGCTTCAGTTGACTCCTTGCACAGTTATGAGTCTGGGACAACCTATAGAGTTGTGCAGAGCTGGGGGAAGGGCCAAGCATTTTTATCTCTACATTAACTACTTATTGGATGCAGGCTGACTCAGAAGGGGTCTTCAGCTGGAGTAAGGTGACCCTTATTAAATAATACTGAAAAGAATTGACAGCTGAAGATTCTGTGGACACTACTCCCTGCAGCTGGTGGAACAGAGTCCTTCATTGTTACAAGGTGACACATTGTGGCATCCACTACAGATGCTCTCTTCATTGAATGAAGAGGTGGGATAACTAACACAGCCTAAGAAGCTTGAGAGGACCAGGTCTGGACAGCTGACACTGGATGGTTATGTTCTCAGAAAAGTGCTGTTTTGTTCAGAAAAATTTTGTGGACTAAATCGTTGATAATTTGCTGAGTTAGGGAGACCTTGAAGTGAGCTGTGTTAAAGGCAGTGCATGGAGATTCAGGACACAAAGACTTTGGCCTTTTCTTCCTTAGCTACTACATGACTGGGAAATCACTTTACTTCTCTGTCCCTCAGTTTTCTCATCTGAATATGAAAGAGGTGCCTAGAGGACCACATAGGGGAAAATGTATGAACAGATGACCTTTGGTATGGCAACGACTTTTTAGGTATAACACCAAAGGCATGATCTGTGAAAGAAATCATTGCTGAGCTGGACTTCCTTAAAAATAAAAACTTCTGGCCTGGCCTGTGTAGCTCAGTGGATTGAGCGTGGGCCTGCAAACCAAAGGATCTCTGTTCGATTCCCAGTCAGGGCACATGCCTGGGTTGCGGCCCAGTTCCCAGCAGGGGACACAGGAGAGGCAATCATACATTGATGTTTCTCTCCCTATCTCCTTCCCTTCCCCTCTAAAGATAAATAAATAAAATCTTAAAAACAAAACAAAACTTCTGCACTGTGAATAACAATGTCAAAAAAATGAGCAGACAAGTCATAGACTGGGAGAAACTGTTTGCAAAAGACACATCTGATAAAGGACCATTAACCAAAGTATACAAAAGTACTCTTAAAACTCTACAATAAGAAAGCAAACAACCTGATTTAAAAATAGGCCAAAGATCTTAACAGTCACTTATCAAAGAAGATACACAGATGGCAAATAAGCACAGGAAAAGATGCTCCACATCAAAGGTCACCAAGGAAAAATGCAAATTAAAACAATAGGGAGATAACACTGCATATCTATTAGGATGGTTTCAGTTCAGGATACTGACAACATCAAGAACTAATCTGGAGGATGTAGAGCAACAGGAACTCTCCTTCGTTGTTGGCAGGAATGCAAAGTGGTATAGCCGCTTTGAAAAACAAAAAACTAAACATACTTATACTGTGTGACCCAGCACAGGAGCAAGTGACCCATGCTCCTTGGTCATTAGCAAAATGAGACCACATAAGAACAGGGATTACTTATGAATACAGGGAGAGACAGTTGCAGGAGGAACCATTAAACTGAGGGGTCCAGAGCAGGAGTAGCAGTAGTACAAGGACCCAAAATGAGGCTGGAGAGGCAGACAGAAGATGAATCATGCAGGGTCTCCAAGGCCATGTCAAGGACTTCAGACTTTAGCTCAAGAACAATGGGAAGACAAGGAAGGGCTTTAGGCAGAGTGAGAGGAGATTGCAGCTGCATGGGAAATCTAAAGTATTTTAGGAACTTTGCGATGACAATAATAAATCAGCACTGCAACAGATTATCAACAGAGCTTGGAGGAGCATTATCCAGAGTAAATTCAGTTGACTGTTAAGGAAGATAAATAACTTCACACGGGAAAGTTGCAGAGGAGAGTCCAGGGGCTTGCAAATTAGGTCAGAGCCGGGGGGTTGGACAGAGCAGAGACCTCAGGCTCTGGTCCCTGAGATAGGAGCCTTGGAAGTGGGAAAGGAGAGGTAGGCATTCTGTCCCTTTTGTCACAACCTAAATGTCTATTTTGAAGGGATATAGGAGCATTTTCCTGTTGCATCTTAGCCTTACTATTGATAATTTGCAATATTTCAAAAAGAGAAGAATGATTAGGACAGCCAGGAGAACTGTTCCCCACATCAGTGGAGGATTATTTTCCTGGTGCATCACCTGTCCCTAACAGGTGGGCACCTCGTAGGGAAAGAAATGGGCAAAGAGATGGTCTTAGTTTGCAACAGACTCTCAAGGGACTTTCTCCTTTTCCTATACAGTCTCCGCTGTCTCAGACTGAACTGTGTGTTGACTCCTTCGGTTTTATTTCACAATTTCTGCTACTTAAGGACAAATAGTATCCATGTTGGATTGGGAAAGCTTGTAAAATTCATTGTAGCAGGGGTCAATGGTGATAATTTTTAAATATAATCCCAATTGTACTTAACGATAACATTAATGTCTATTGAGCTCATACTAGTTTAAGTACCATGCCACTATAAATTTTTATACATGTAATTTCTAGAAAAGTATTAATGCACGTGTTTCTTTTAAAGATTTTATTTATTTATTTTTAGAGAGAGGGACAAGAGAGGGAGAAGGAGAAGGAGAAAAGCATCAGTGTGCAAGAGAAACATTGATCAGTTGCCTCTCACAAACCCCCAAACCCAGGACCTGGCCCGCAACCCAGGCATGTGCCCTGACCAAGAATTGAACCGGTGGCCTTTCAGTTTGCAGGGTGATGCCCAACCACTGAGCCATACTAGTGAGGAAACGTGCAAATATTTTTTTATTTTAAGCTTCTAAAGAGTGATTGAACAATAACAGGTAGTCATCATTAGTTAACCAGAAACTGCCAGCTGAACTTATGCAAACAGATTAATAAGGAAGTGAGTACAAGGGAGTCTTAGTACGTTTAAAGAAGAAAATGTGTACATTTATCAGAAAATAAGTCTGGCTGAAAAAAAAATGAACAATAATCCTCTAATTACCAATATTGAGAGATCTCTAAATTGGCTTGAAACCCTGCAAAGCTCCAGTAAACCTGGCTTTAGCTAGTTACTAATTGATTTGATGGGATTGTAAAAGAGAAGTCAAATCCGCATAGACACCCAAGGACCTTCAAATCTCGTGTAAGAGAACTGTGGATCATTTTGATTGCATTTAATGGGAACCACCAGGTAAGAAGCCTTTTACTGAGTATGACCAGAGCTAGAAATTCTAAATAAACCATGGAAACTAATGTATAGAAGAGGATGTGTGTGTTTGTGTGTAACTGTTAGAAATTAAAAATTCCATATCTAGTAGCATTTCAACATAAATATTTAACTGTAATGTTTTATGTGGTATTGCATTTGGTATCTCATAACTGTCTCTTCTCAACTCCTTTCCCCCCTCCCCATTTATTAAACTCAGGGCTAGAACTTGAAGAAGAAAAAGCTGAGAATTTTCTGAATGGTAAAGAGATCAAAACATATAATAATCACCAACATTCAGGATGTTGGTTGTTCTATCAACCCAGGTCCCTGAGTGAAGACTTTCTGTTGGCTCATAGTTGAGTGAGAAACAGACCTTTGTGCCCTGGCTGAGTGCTTGGTGGGTTGGCGCATTGCCCTGATACGCCAAGATTGTGGGGTTGATCCCTGATTAGGGCATATGTAAGAAACAATCAATGAATGCAAAAACAAGTAGAACAACAAACTGATGTCTCGGTCTCTCTCTCTCTCAAATAAAATAAAATGAAATAAAAGTTTACAAAAGAAACAGACCTGTCCTGGCTGGTATAGCTCAGTGGATTGAGCACAAGCCTGTAAATCAAAGGATCATGATTCGATTCCCAGTCAGGGCACATGGCTGGGTTGTAGGCCAGTTTCCAGCAGGGGATGCAGGAGAGGCAACCATACACTGATATTTCTCTCCCTCTCTCCTTCCCTTCCCCTCTAAAGATAAATAAATAAAATCTTGAAAGAAAGAAAGAAAGGAAGAAAGAAAGAAAGAAAGAAAGAAAGGAAGGAAGGAAGGAAGGAAGGAAGGAAGGAAGGAAGGAAGGAAGAAAGAAAGAGACCTTTGTACCTAACTTACTGAGAGTTTAGAGTCGCTTGTTATTGCAGAATAAATCTAGAGCACAGGTCTAGCTCCCGCTGGGAGCTCAACAATGTTTTATTCTGTTTTCCTGAATCTTGCCACAGAATTGAAACATTTATCATTTCTAGTTATGAAACAGTATCAATAGTCATCCATGCATGTCCCTCTTACATTTTATTTATTCTCTTGAATTTGTTTATTGTTATCATGAACATCCATGAACATACCATCCAGGCCAAGAAAGAAAATATTGTCAATAACCTCCTCTAAGTATGCTCTTTTTTTTTTTTTTTTAACCTTATTCTCCTGCCTCTCTGCACTGGAATAACCTCTACCTTGAATTTCCTGTTTCTCATTTCCTTGCATTAAAAAAAGTTAATCTGTTTTATCATATATCTGTAGGCCTAGGCAATATATTGTTTTGGCTTTTGAACTTTATAAAAAATAGATGTATACATCTCCTGGAACTTACATTTTTTCAATCTAATTCACCTATATTCCTATTCATAGCAGTAATTCTTTATTTTTTTCTGCTGTATAATATTGCATTCCATAAGTATTCCAATATTTTTCATTCTTCTATCAACAGGCTTTGAGATATCTCATTTTTTATTATTATGATGTGCTGTTATAATTTTCTTGTACATGTCTAGTAGCAAACATCTGCAAGAATGATGAGAAAAATAAAAATGAGGACACAATAAGATATCCTTAGATTTAAAATTATTTGAAATGACAAAAATTGAAAAGTCTATCAAGATCACATGTTGGAGTGATGAACATCAGTAGGATCTTGTATACATTTCTGATGGAGTATAAAAACAAACATTTGAAATAACTTAACATTATTCTTAAAGCTGAACATTGGCATAACCTATAACAGATCTCAATAAATGTTGAATGAGTATGG